AATATAACCCGATCCTGCAGGTTAAAGCCACTCCTCCTTCCTCAGTCCAATTTAGACAGAGCAGATGAGTGTTACACCAGCTGTGTCATATGGGAAGGTGTTTGGCTACAAATTGGATGAGTAACAGAGCCATGGAGCCGGCACTGAGGCGTTTGTCTGTGGTCCGCAACTCAGTGGAGTGATTGGTTTTGAGGGCTGAGGGAGCAGATGGGACAGGGACACAGAGCTATACCAAACAACTGACAGTGCCTCCCTGGTTTTTCATCAAAATATCACTTCCATGCTGATATGTGCTCAGCCTGCCTCCCAAAGACTGATTCCACATTAAAACAAAAGCTCTGGCTCTATTTATAGCAGTATTGCAGCAGCTTATTCTTTATAGCAAGTTATCTCCACCTTTAGCTCCACCCTCTTAACATTAATTATGCAGCTCAATGCAGCACTCCGAAACCCTACTGCAGCTCACCCACACTACAACACTATACCGCTTTTCCCAGTCTCTCTGTCACACACACATTTTCCGTCATGACTACATCCTCAACTGCCCATAGTCAAAGACAGCATTTCCTCTAAGCGTTAGACATTTTAAATAGTAGAGATACTGCAAGGTTAAACGTTCACACACGTGAAACAAAGGTTAACAAAGCATATTTATTTCTAAATCACTGCTTTGAATCTAATGCACCTGATGCTCTGCAGAAAAAATGCTATTTATCATATTCTTTTTCCAGCAATATTATAAACAATATTTTGAAACATCTGATGCATTTGATGTGAATCAATACCTGTGTGATAATTACAAGTTGGACTGTTATATTTAGTTGCAGTGTGATTCACTTTCAGCACAAATTTTCTTTTTCAAAGCCTGGTTTTCATTTCGGTACAATTAAGAATCAAATTGTGTGATGTACCAAGACAAGCACACTTAACTCAAAAACCTGTCTGTCAAGTTGTAATTGACTCAAGTCCTTTTGAAAAACACAGTGAAACCTGAAAGCAGGGAGAGTCCACGCTACACAATCTGAATCAGTTACACTGGCAGAGTGAAATCAGAGAAGGAGAGAGGAGAAGCTCTCCTGCTTCAGCCAGACACCTCCCAGGCAGGCAGTGGGACAGAAACGTAATAACTGTTTATGGAAGCACAAACAAGCTTCTCTTTTGTTTGCTAGAGCTTCAAGTTATTGAGATTCATTTTATATCTGCATGCACATGTTTGTATGTGTGTTTGTATGTGAAAGAGAGAGAGAGAGAGTGATGCTTGTGTGGCTGACCCAGTCAAACGTTGTATAATTCATTTAACAAAACTTAAGTGTGACTTTACCCCATGTGAGTCATTCATGCACATACTGATTCAGTAAATGGTGCTTTTTCCTTCTTTCACATGGAGGTTTTTGCTGTTATTCATGGGATCATTATTGCTTATTCGCCACACAAAACATCATTAACAAAATGTCAAACCTTGCGTGTGCAGCCACCAGCTATGTAAAGGTTCATGTTGCTTGCCTCGCTATTGTTACTATTTCAATAACTTAAATAAAGTGTCTATGTTTGCAAATGATGCTACCTCCAGAACAAAAGCAAACAGCAAGGCAGATGCTCCTAATAAGGAAAACATGGCTGGGGAAGGTGGGATCGTTCAGCTGGTGTCGGGAAAAGTTAACGTGTTATACGCTTACATAATCTAGGGGGAGTGTGAATTGACTACTCCCTCTCGCTACATGACAGTGTGCTGGCAAGCGCAGGTCGGCTGTTTTGTCATGAGCACTGTGTTGCCATCCATCACTCCTTCTAAAATCTGTGCACCGTCAGACATACAGAACACACAACGGCTGGTCAAAAGCTCTTTGTAAGGTTGCTTTTCCTCAGCAGGCAACCCTCTGCTGCTTCTGCAGGGGTCTTTTCAGTGCATGGAGCGGATGGTGAGCAGAGAACACAGCGGGGGCTGGGCACCGCAATGTACTGCAGTGCTTGTAGCTCTGCTATGCACACCCACTCTCTTCCATTCTTGCTGTGCCTCTGACAGTCTTTCAATCTCTCTCTCTCTCTGTATCTCTCGCCCATACTTGTATCATCTGCCTTGCCTTCGTCTCTTCACGTTCTTCTCATTGCCTTTGCCCTTTTCATGCCCATTTTTCACAGATTTTTCACACTTAGTGTAATCCATATGTCCTGCGCTCTTACATTCTTCATTTAAACTATACTGCCCTCTGTCACTTGCATGCACATGTAGAAATACAAATACATGCATATACATACTGTATATATGCTGGTCAAACTTTTCCTGGAGAGTATGATAAATTACCCTCTTTCTAAATATGGAGATCACACACACACACACACACAATGCCCTTCAACACTTCACTTATCAAGAAATCATTCAGGTATTCTCTATTTTCATCTCTACAACCTAAATAATAAAGGTGACTCTGTTTCTGCCAGTTTGGAATTTTCATGGCACCTCTCCTCATCCTGGCACGGAGTGTTTTGGGATTGTTGCTAACTGTAGTGACAGCCGTTGCCGCTCCGCTATGTTGCCTACACCATCATTTACAGTGGCACACTAAACGCCTATGTCGCACAGCCTGGGACACGGGGTGTCATACGCGGAGGATGAGCAATGACAAGCCCGGCAGCTGCTCACTTACACCAAAAACTCCACAATTCTTAGAAAGAGTTACAGTACATGACTTCTATGCACACAGGAACTGACTACACGAAAATAAACATTGAAAGAAAACTTGGTTACCAACCATCTCTATCCCAACATACAGAAGTAAATTGTTATAAGCAGCCAGAACAGTTTATGTTGTTACAGAAGCAGCTGTTAAAACACTGAATTAGACTTAAGTTGAGGTAAATCACAGGACACGGTTCTGTCCGTTGGAACCAGCCATTCTCTCTAATGAGAAGTGGTCTTGCACTTGCACTCTTCTTCCATTTTAAAGAGGGATAGTGGCTAATCCTTGGGAGCAGTGAGAGGTCTCATTTCTGTTTCCCATTAAAGGGCTGAGGTTCCTAATGATTGCTATCTGAATGAGTTTCTCAGTATGCTGGCTGCATCCTGCAGAGACACTTTTCTAGTCGCTCTCAACCATGACATGAAACAAAGCTTTGTGTCACAGCAGGTGTCACAGCTGTATGGGCTGCAGTCATTACATGTTATACATGTTCTTTTCACTGATTTAACACAACACCATTGTCTTTTAGCCCATATGAAATTAGTTACTAGCCACTCTTAGCTGACATGATGTAAGATTTCTGCTCTTGTAATAACAAGAGCCTTTTGATTTTGTGTTACCACACAAATAGCTGTGCTATAAGCGGACATCAAACATGAATGATTTTGCAGCTGAAGTGTATTTCATCCCACAGTTTGATGTGTTGTCTAGAACAAGGAAGAGAGAACTAAACCACAGTGCTGGCACACCCACCTGGAGCATACAGTCATGACACAGGTAGGCAAGGACTGCAGGTTTTTAAACTGAAACAGGTCCTAGTTGTTTCAGCATCTGCAGAAACATAGTTCTCTTTAAGATGGACAGTGTTCTAGAAAAGCAGAGGCGCATGAATAATGAAAAGTGTTTTCTTCGCTCTACAGCTACAGCATCAGTGTATTAATGTGTATAGCAGGGCATTTTATTAAATCAGATGACTGGACATAGAAGAATTAGCTTTGTCAAACTGTTTGCCACAATTTTGCTTTAACAATTAGAAGAAGGCACATTGCTCCGTGCTCTGTCCATGGTGCTGAAACGGGTTACATTTCCTTCCTAGCCATCTCTTCATACCCAAATATAATTCAGTCTTGAATAATTAAAACATTATTGAAAAAAGGTTACTCGGTTCAGAAGGGCTGAAAGGTATGAACCTTACTTCTAATATAAACTCACCAGCACATACTGTACTCTTCACCCTGTAATGCTGCTTTTCAACATGCCCACACAAAACAAGTCCATCCATCATTTCCTCCCATTCCGCAGCAGGCCAGTGTTCACAGACATTTTCAACTGGGAAAACACACAGTGCCCACTGCTGGGCAGCATCAAATCTTCATTCACAAATGATAAAGGTCAGATTACAATATAACACACACACACACACACACACAGTAAGAAACACTAACAAACTGTGAATGTACATAAAGAAAGCTGATAATGAATGCACAGTGAAAGCTGTGTTAGTATGAACCACCTGACCTTGACTGTAAACAAAGCTTCACTTTCCTTTGTTATTTAAGATCATTTTATAATTATGATGGACCATATTTTCAGCGCACAATCCCCCAGTGAAGTTACACAGACATAACAATACTATTTCCATTTCTTTTTAGAGTGTACTCAGTAAGCCTAGTTCATCAATCAGAGAGCCTACTTCTGCTGCAGACTCAGACTGAAGTCCCAGGACGCCGGATAAACAAAACAAAAACTCACCACCAAGCGCAAACGCTATCGGAGCCAATTCAATCTGTTATCTAAGCAACCCCAGTGATGTGCAGAATACACAGTGGGAGCATGCACGACAAAACCAGAATGGGCTGCAGTAGTCTCTTTGTTACTCTGAGCTTATCAGAGTACGCTGAATTTAGAATTTAGAACAAAACTTTACTCTGATCCCAAGCAGGGATAATTAACAAGTTAAAACAGGGACAAATGTTTTATAAAACAGGTTCGTGGTACTGGTTGGATGCTGAGGCAGCTCTGCTCAGGGATGTAATGGGATACTGCAGCACTAGAGAACCGTGTGCACAGAAACTTGCCAAGAAGCATCAGGGAGTCCCGCAATAACCTTCCCCCTCCCTGACTCTTTACTCTGCCTCCCCCTCTGCTCTTCTGTTAGGTATTTATAATGTAAGCATAGGACCATGTACATATTTAAATGCAATTATGTGTAAAAAACAAAAAGAGGACAAATAATCTGTAATATACACTGACAAAGACCACAAGAACAACTTCAGAAGTGTGAAAACCCACCATGCCTGTAGTAGGACAGCAGCTGCTTACCTTTGGTGCAGGTTGCTCTCTCTCCCAGACACCGAGCGCTTCCCTTTCTCCACAGGCTCCAAAACACTTTGAGATAAAGAGAAAATAATCAGTCTCCCTTTACTTTGTCTTATTTCCAGTTTCAGAATGAACAAATCAGGGGTGCAACACAGCCCATCTACACACACCTTTACTCTGTCCTCCTGTAAGATCTGCCACATGTACATACACAGACACCCATTCAAATACAGCCGGAGTCCCCAAAGTGATAAAGATCTGCTCACAGGAGGGTTAAAAACTACACACACTGCAGTTTTTGTTCCCCTTCCTCTTGCCCACTAGCTCTTCAGCTTTTTTCCTCCTGTCTCTGCCTGCACTGCCGCCTGATTGGCTAAGCTGCTCCTCAATAACATAAGCGCTCCTCTTTAATTGGAAGGAGGCCAGTTATGTGTTGCACCAGAAACCCTCCCGCCCTGCTCATCTCTCTCTCTCTCTCTCTCTCTCTCTTCTCATCTCCCCTAAGTGCCTGTGGAGAAGAATGCTGAGCTCTGCAATTTCATATGCATCAAGCAAAGAAAAAAAATGGAATGAAGGGCGAGGCAATTCAGTGCACTGCAGTGGGACAAGTAGACGCTCCATGGGAACAAAAGGGGGGACTATTAGGTGGGGTGGGTGTAGATTTGGATGCACGGTCCACCAGCCGCATCGTGTTGAGGTGTGACAGTGGGTCAGAGGAAAGTAGTGTTCCCTGTTCTCGGTGCAACACAGCTAGGTGGCTCTGCTGCAGTGTGGAGTCTAATTGCCAGGCGAGAAGGGGGATGGGAAGGGAGGAGGAGAGGTGGGGTTGTTTGCAGCGATGCCGAAGTACAGTCTTCCAGCTAGCTTGGATCTATGTAGAAGAAATGGGCAGGCAGCCGCAGTACACACACAGCAGTTAATGCCTTTCCTTCATGAATTATTGAAGATGCCCCAAAGATGAGTGGGAGGGTCACAGGTGGCAAACCACTGAGTCTGTTCAGACCATTTCATCGCTGCTGAGGTTTAAGATAATCACTGTATGTTGTCAGTTTGCTAAAAGTAGCCCACTTTTGTTAGGCTATGTTTTCCTAGTAATTTTTTTTAAATGCTTTATGTGGAGATTGTGTAGTGTTGGCTCTCTGCTTTCCACTTCAGTATCATAATGTGTTAAAAGCTTTTCCCATCCTGGAAAAAAACTGGTTCATGCATTGACTTTGTGGTGTCAGATTTCCCGGCCGCCTTTGACTCACATCTGGCATGTCCATTGTGCCCTGGCTGCATTAAGGTACAATACCCAAGCAAATCAATAATGGATCATACAATACCTCAACCGTCTAGACTCTAGAAGTTATATGATGCACAGAGAGAAATGAAAACACACGATTTGCTCAGTCAACAACATAATTGCCTGGTGGATGCATAGGCAAATAAACAGAAGGGCTAATTTTTTAGGCTCAGCATCCTGCTGTAAAATACCACATGATGTTTTGGAAGCAGTCCTCATCTCATCAAATAGCTGAAAACTTTCAACTGTAGGAGAGATATATGGCACAATAACAGATCTGTAGAATTATGTTAATATAAAGTACACTATTATCACAATTATAAATTTTATTAAGCTCAAGATGGTTCGCTTGACTTTGCTATGCAAAAAAGAACATTTATTTCCATTTATTTTCCATGACTGAAAACTCATGATCATGACCACAGACTGCAGGAATATTACAGAAAATTTACATCAACTATTTGCGCATATTTTCCTTCATCACTGTGGTCTCTGTTCTCTCAGGACAGCTGTACACTGTGATGGAGATGCATGCGTCTTTGAAGACCTCGTCCAGTATATTCGACACTTCTTTCCACTGCAGTCGATCCAGGCCACAACCAATACTGTCAGAGAGAGAGAGAGAGAGAGAGAGATAAAGTGAAACTGTTTAATAGCAGCAATAAGGGCAGAGACACATCAAGCCGACGTGAAAGAACTAGCGGCTGCTGCGTCACCTCACGTCGACTTTGTCTGGGCCAGTCGGGTTGAAAAAGTGGCACTTGGACACACCAAACTATAGCCAACAGCCAACTAGTGCAAACCTTCTGTGCCTGTGTAACAGAAATAACTCCCCCTACCAGCAGGTGGCGGTATCTGTATTCACCATTCAGAAATGGAAAAGATGAGGACCTACTGTAAACTGTGGAAATACAAGTGTAAAGAAAGCAGCTTTCATTCAACCGAGCTGCTTCTAATCGAGAATATGTCTGATAAGAGGTTGCAAATGGCACTGCCATTCACTGCCCTTGGCTGTGGAAGAAGAAAGGTGGTCATGGAAGCCAAAAACAAAGAGAAACTGAACTGAACGGGTAAAATCATGGATACTATAGTGACAGGCTGAAGGGGCTTTCCTGAACCTTTTTCTTCTCGTCTAGTGATTCACTAAGCTGAAAAGCCAATCAGAGTTGTCTCTCTCACCACGAGGCACAACGGGCCAACGTCGCTTCAACATGTCAAATCAGCTGAAAAGCCAGCGACGGGGTCCGATTAGTGCCAACGGTGCAGGACACGCCAGGAAGACGAGCGCCGACAGACACCGGCCCAACGGTGGCTGATGACGGACTGTCAGTTTGGTGTGTCACGGCCCTAACAGAACTGACACAAAAGCTGGTCTTAATGAAAAGTGACACAAACCGAGGTATTGATATTCTTGTGACTCCGTTCTCTAAGCAGTGTGACCTCATGTCCTCCAGGCTCATTTTCAGGTTGTCGTATTTGGGTTTATGGCTGGCCTTTTTCTTTGTGACCTGCAAATAAAAATTATTAGTATTGTTTACATTCTGTTTGCACATGCAAAATTGCACACTGACTGTGGACTACTGCACATGCTGCTCCCATGCAGCATACATTCTCTTATTATATTCTTATACATTTTTATCTCTGCATTTGCTGCTTAAAGTGCCTTAGATCTTGTGTTACTTATTCATCTACTTTATATTTCATTTGTATTTTGTGGCATTCATGTGGACGGCAAAGTAAGAATTTCATTGTACAGGGAAACATGTTTCCTAACTGTGCATATGACAAATAAACACTTTGACCTTGAAACAATTTTAAATATGTTACATCTTTACCAGATAGTAGACATAACGTCCGCCTATTTTCAGTACAGCACACTGCCCCGTCTGCTTTTCTGTTTGGAAAGAAAAAAAAATATTATACCTTCATCAGAATAAGACAATACAAACCCAAACATAATGGTTTTTAAAGCCCCTTAAACCTGAAGCTGAACAACCCATTACAAATTTACACTGTGCATGAAAAACTCTGGTCTAACCCACAGATATTTATCTGAAGTTCTACTGAAAATCCTAAAGTTTCCAAACAGACCAAATATGTCAACATAAAAATCCTGCATCATTTCATACCAAACATATGCAGAAAAATTTTGCATAGGCAAAAAGAGATAATGTTTTCAAAATAATGCCATGAATAGGATATCACTGTCTTCTACCTGTTCATGTAATCCCAGTTTGACTCAGTGATGCTGGGATCTGGGCTCTATGGGGGCCACGCCATCTGTAGTACAACCCCTTGTTATTCCTGTCACTAAAGTTCTTTGTGACTCTGGCTGTGTGCATTGTGGCTCACAGTCATACAGCAGAATTAATTTGGGATGGATCAGATGTCTTTCTAATGGTGCAGTGTGATGGACAATAACATAATATCTAAAGTGCCAAAAGCTTTTGCACAGTGTTGCATGTGATATCGTCAGATCATGTACAATAAGAAGACTTTTCCAGCTGCAAAGCTACACTGGGGAGAAAAGTTGGAATAGTATGTTAATAGCTTTTGATAGACAAAACCAGTTTCTCTGTGAACAAAAGGATTGCCTGGGAATAAAAAATAAAGACATCCCTCTCCCGATGAATCTTTAATAAAAGGGCTTACTCACTCTGCTCTTTTAGCTCTGGGACCCGTCCGAACCTCTTCCTGAATGCCAGTGCTATGCCTGCCCCCATGCGGCAGTCCTCACTGATGCAGTGGGCCAGAGCCTCGTCACCGGGGCAGGAGAACAGGTCCCCAGTAACATAGTTCAGACTCCAGCTATCTCCTGTAGGCTAACCAGGAGGGGGCGCCGTTAGACCATGAGGAGGAACCATAATAACAAAACAACAAACACTGGTGTCTGAGAACCGGAACTATGGCAGGAACCCACTTTTAGCTCACGTAAAACCCAAAACAAAAACATTTTCCCATAAGTGTAGGTTGTACCTGATGCGTTTTACCGCTGACTGGTTTCTTAGGTTTACACGACATTGACAACATTGAATTGGACATCCTGTTTATTCGGTCTGTAGAGTCGTGAACTAAAACAACACGATTATCGGCATTCAACTTCCGCAAAAAAGTTTGTAAATCAGCTTACCGTTCGACACTAAAGCGGCTCGTATAACTTACAAGCAGCTACCTGCAGCTTTAATTCTGCATAAAGGGACCTTCAATATGTTATTTGGTAACTCAATATGCTAGTCCGTTTCAAGGATAGGAAGCAGCCATGGAACGTTCCTGTCCTCTCGCGAGAACAAATAGTAACAGCGACACGAGGCTTTCCCAAAACAAGGCTCAACCCATTATAAGGACCACAGCTGCCGTGGAAATACTAATAGGGGATTTCATGAATTTATAGCAAATTTGACAGTAAAAACTAAAATTAAATGATTTTATTTATTTATATTTTAACGGACAATTAAAAATGAATTATAAGAAATGAATTTATAAACGAAATAATAATTACTTCAATAAAAAAACATTGATGATCCCCATGAAACTGTGGAATTTCAAAATCAATTTGAAAATGCACTGTTAGAAGAGAAGTAAATAATTTAATTCATAATCTGGATTGACAATTCAGGTTTTGGTATGATAGACCTAATTAAAAGGATAATTCCATTTGCAGTTCCATTTTCCCACTGCTTTCCCTTTTTGTTTTAGCTTTTCCATTTGCTTATCATTTAGCCTCCTCATTTACTATTTCTGTCGCACTCTGGGGCCTTGAGCTTGCAAAAGGGAAAGTAATGCAAATTATCTTGCTTGGGGGCGCCACACTGCAAGGTTCTGTGAAGGAAGTAGTAGAATTAATCAGAAATAAGCAGTAAATCCATTTTGTTGAGGGTGGTGCTGCTTTATACTTAGTGGTACATAGAAACCTGTGGGATGTTGCTTCACTCACTTTTCTTTTACACAATCAAGGGCTGAATTTTCACGCTCACCATGATTCAGATGCCTTATCTGCAGAGCTTCCAAATTCATAATCGAAAGTTGTGGGCTACTGGGAGGATATGGTGCCCACATTTTCTGACAAAAACCAAGCTGTTATTCACAGTTCTTTTGGACTCCATATGTTGTTTTGTTGATGTGCTGCAATTTGCCATGGCTTCAGGCTGGCACAAGCAGCATGTAACATTTTGTGCCAAATTTGAATGTAATGGAAACCACACCCACCCAGCACAAACTGACACTGTGCTAGCTGGGTTTTGGAGCACAGTCAATGAATCTCAATCTGAAACAGTCATATTGTTCTACTCTCCTCCACACAAGCTTCAAAGCTTAGTGTCACATCACTGTGGAGAAGAGAAGAAGAAACACCTGACGATAACCAAATTACCTTGATTTGTCTTTGATTAAGTCTCTGTTTTTAAGTTATTCAATAAATTTTACCGTGCTCAGATCCAAACCTGCAGTTGCATTTTATGTTTTAGGATGAACCCTATACATGAAATTATTTTCAGATATAAAACCCTTAGGCTAATGTCCTGATGGTGTTATTGTCAAATTATTTATTGTAATGGCCTCTATTATTTTAATTATTAATTTTTAGATTGAAGGGTTAAATACCGATAGAAAATATGCAACACAGAATATACAATAGAATGGGCACTCTTAATAAAAACTATAACCATAAAAAGGAAGATGGGAACTTAATTAAAATGTCTTGACTAGTGCAGTAACTTTGTGTGGTAATAACTATGTTGGCATTTACACAAATTGAACTAGAGAGCCAAATACAGGTAGAACAGGCTTTTCATTTACAGTTCTAGCTTAAGAGTTGCTATTAAAAGAAGTACATCAGATCACCTTGCAGTGTATACAGCTGAGTTGCTAACAATTGCTACAGCTTTACAGTGGATAGAGCAGATAAGAACAGACAAAGTCATTTTGTGCTCAGACTCAGGTTCAGCATTGCTCTCACTGCAGTCCTTTTCATCCCAGAGTAAAGAGGAAGGAATACAGGAAATATATGAAACATTCTTTAGACTTCAAATGATGTCGATATAATTTACATTCATGTGGGTTCCTCCTCATAGGGGAATTACAGGGAATGAAATGGCAGATACACTAGCTAAGGAGGCACTCAAACGGGGAAACATGGAAATATTGATATAGTAAAGCAGAGGCAAACGGAGTTTCATTATCAGCAGTTTAACTAGGATGAGGGAAAATCTGGGTAATCTTTACACAGTTCAGAAGGAAGTAAGAACCATAAGATCAGTAGGAGGAAACACTTGAAAGGGAAGCATAATAACTAGGTTGAGACTGGGACACAGGATTAAATAAAATGTTCCATCTAATACACAAACTTCAGACTGTGAGCACTGTCAGTCAGAGGAGTCAGTGGTTCATTCTTTATGCAGGCGGTGGTAATGCATCTTAATGTTGGTTGCCACCCACCAGTTAAAAAGAAAAGCTAGAAAGAAAGGTTAATGCTGGGTTGTGCTATGATGGGAATCAACATGAGGTCATCAAACTCAGTGCACTAGCAATATATAGGCTAGAGGTAGAAAATGCCCTGGGAGGTGCAGCAAAACTGAACCAAATCTTAGTCTATACATGCCCACAAAGACCTGAGATGAAACCAAAAAGAAAATACAGTAAGTGGCTTATTACTGCAGCAGTTCCAAAATAAACAACAGACAGATATACCATAGGCAGCTGTAAATACAGTCATAACTACTGAGGCTAGTGATGTTTTATATACGTATAATCTGCAACAGATACAAAATCACAGAATGACTGAACACACATGAGGATATGTGACAAACTAGCTCAGAAGTCAGCACTGCGTCTCCGCTCGTTGATCCAGTTCCCAGGGTCGACGTCCATTTGCAGCATCTTCATCACCCACTTGTCCTTCCGGGCTCCATCAATAAACTCATCCAACGAGAGCTCCCCTAATTTATGAGGGACATTTATTCTCAGAATCAGAATCAGCTTTATTGGCCAGGTGTGTCGGGCACACAAGGAATTTAACTCTGGTACACTGGCTCTCAGTGTGCATGTACATATCCCCAGGCAAGGGGCAAGTAAACAGTAAACCAACATAAGGCTGTGAATATAACAAAATGAGCAGTATTAACAAGCAACAAACAGTCCAAACAATGCAAAATAAGCAGTATAAACAGGCTTATTTCACTTTTTCTCCATTACTGAAGTCATCATTTTGATAGGAAGATGATCATTATACAGCTGATACCCAGCTTCTCTTTCACTATACAAAAGCAACAATTGACATTAACATCCCATGAAGCTATTACAGCAGCCTGACACTACCCTTCTAAATCATCCATAATGAAGCATTTTAAGCTGTCAGAAAACACTTCTAAACACTCACCATCTCCATTTTCATCAACCAACTCAAATATCCGGTCAACCACTTGGTCTGGGGTGAGCAGATTGCATTCTTCATCCAGCTCTCCGTGGCAAGCTTTCTTCATTCGATAAATTGACTGAGAGTGACAGGAAAGGATATTACAATGAATCTTAAGCTGACTACAATTGATTAAAGCCCACAGATTGGTCTTGAAATATTCTTTAAAATGTTTGTAAAGCTTTAAAGATAGTTATTGTAAAATAGTAAATATTACCTCCACAATTTCAAGAAGCTCTGTTTTGTCAATGCATCCACTTCCGTCTTTATCATACATTTTGAATGTCCATTTAAGCTTATGTTCCAATTTGCCCCTCAGGACTAAATTCAAGGCTGCAACATACTCCAGAAAATCAATTGTGTTGTCCTTGGAAGTAAAGACAAATAATGTTATAAAGGGACACTTTCATGCAGCCCTACAGTGTAGGGCTGTAACTAACCATTATTTTCTTTCTTTGTCAAGCATTTGCAAATAGCTTTCTTTGTTTGTTATTCAGATAAGACTGTTTATTTTCATAGAAGGCAAGCTCTGAAAAAAGTGTGCTCAATAATGGGCAAAATTGCAACTGTTATACATACTCGTCACATTTTAACTTTTACTGTGGTGAGTGTGGTGTCAGTACTAAAATGACACAAATGATGACGTGCAACACCTTGTATTTCCACAACAGAACTTTGTACTTACGCCATTCTTGTCAAAGGCTCGAAACATGTTTTCAATGTAATCGGAAGCCTCCTTGTTATTAGTAACGCCAAAAAATTTCTTGAACTCGTGCATGAAGAGAGTTCCACTTGGACATTCCACAACAAACTTTTTGTACCATTCCTGCAGCTCTGCCACATCAATTTCCTTGTCTGAGTCATTATTGTCGCTCAGGCGCTGACCCATTGTGGAAATAATTTCTCCAACAGCCTCAAAATGGAAATGAATTCTTACATTACATTAAACTGTTTGACCCGATTAATTCTGTTTAAGCTTCCCTCTATATTACAAAATGTATAAGTCAGTTACTGAGCCTAATGCTGCAAATAACTGTGCAAATCAGCAAAAACCTGAATAATTAAAATGGCCAGAAAGTCCACACAAGTTGAATTGTTATTAGGCTCTCTATTGTGATTAATCTCCTCTGAAAGTGAGGGTGAGACACTGTTATGAATCACATGATGAGGGATTAGACTTGGACTCTTTGTCAAAATCAATTAGTTTGCAGACAAATCATGAAAGGATTTCTTTGTGCCCCTGCTTTGGCCTGTCCTAAACAAAGAATAGTATGTCTACTGTATGTCTGTTTGAGAAAACACTCCTGTATAATAGGTTTCATGTGCCTATATGATATAGTGGGCTTTTAATTAACAATATAGCTATTATACTGTATGAATGCATCTTTTGCTTGGAATGGCTTTCACTACATGTGTTAATATGCAAAGGTAAAATAAGGATTAAGATATTTCATATGATATGTAAACAGAAGTATCCATTAAATAATTATAAAGCAGAAAGGGAACACAAACCTTTTCAAAACAGTTTTCAAGTGAACTTTTTTTAAGACAGGAACTGATAGTATATCAAACAAGCATGCTATTATCAAGCTTTTTTTTTGACCCAGATTACACATGACTAAGGCTACCACATAATTAACCTGTTACCTGGTGAACTAAACTAAGTATTTTCATGTAGTCCAATTCAAGGGTGTACATTTCCAAAGGAGGCAGTTTGTGACCCACTAAAATTGCTAGTAAAAACCAGGATATGTTAGCCTCTACTGCTTTAGTTTTGACCGTTATTTTTAAATATATATGTTTTATAGAAGTGGAATGCTAAATTGCTGTTGTACTTCTTGAACTAATCTTTCCTGGTATTAGAAGTTCCCGACCAGTCTGATGATTCACACAGGCTAAGTATGTAATTATCTCTGACCTTCAGGTGTCAGGTTATTTATGGAAAACCTGATTAATGTTTACATAGCCGCTTCAGTCTCACTGAAGCCTATAATAAATGGTATTTTTTGCTAAATCCACTAATGATGCACATTAAATGACACCTTAGGCACTGAGAGGGTATAATGTCGTTGATAAATGGGAGGAAACATTCTCTAAGCTTTTGCTGTTGTTCAATTAACAGGCAGTGGAACTGTGAGTGGAACTTTAGAAATAACTACATGGTTTCAATAGAATAACAGTGTCGCTGTTTGTGGCACCTTAGACATTGTTTACAGATGAAAGCTTAGCCTGGCCCATAATATCTGCTGACAACAGAGACAGTGATAATCTTAGCTTAGGAGTGTCAAGACTGTCTGAGGAGTTACTGGGTGTTGTCCTCAAAATGATTTATGCCTAAGTCCTGTACCCGGGATGTGTAGAAACAAGACTTAACATTTGTGTACCGATGACTGGCATCTTTTAATCCTAGGATTTCTATATTTCACTTTTACTTTCTCTACTGTTCTGGCTCAGTAAAATAAAACTTTCAAAAACAACACTGTGTGGGGAAGGTCCAACATGTTAGCTTGCTTCTATCAAATACTATATGGCTAATAATATAGCATGTTTTGCTAATGTTAGTACCTTAACATGAAGGTCAGTATGTTAGAACACTAAGGTGACAATTCTTTGTACATGTGACTCCTTTCACATGAGATTAGTTTTCACACTGTCATCTGATACATTGTGAGTGTAAAATATTGGTTATTGTTGCTTTAAGGTCAAACTATCATTAAGTTTGTGTTGAACAAGGACTTATGAATCACAGGGTGGAATACACCTATGTAGCCAAAGAAAATTGTTGTAGACTACAAATATATGACATTCCAGAGATATTTCACTCTATTTTGAAATTTGCCGCAGACATATGAACCTGCCAACATTGCTATTCCTAAAGCAACATGGCAAACATGACTAAAAGGTGATTCCCACACTTCATAGACCTGATATCGTTCTGTGGGTATGAAACATGATTACAATTCAAAAGAACAATTCCCTTAAAATTAACTGACCTTGCTGCACTTTAAATTTTAGCATTTATTGCTTTCCACGAATACTATGATACAAGTTCAAGCATTCAATTTCCAGCGATTAGCAGTTTTTACGAAGGCAGTGGACATGTATTACAAGTCTACAAAAACAGATGTTCAGATACATACTGTAAAAATCAAGCTATCAAAAGAGACAGTTGTATGACTAAGGTATAACATACAGAAAGTGTGAAAGTACCTTGTATTTCTGTTGACAGAACTGATGCAAAAATGGCTATCCTTAAGCCAAAACTATATTCTAACCAACCGGGGACTACAATATTGTGTGCATTAATATTGACTTTATACAGTGACACAGCAAAACTTTTGACATTTCCACAACCTTCAAACAGCCAAAGCTAAGAAGTGCAAGATATTTTATGTATGTGCTTCACAGAAAAAAGCAGAAATCTGAGATGTGTTGTTCGCATTCTTAATGCCAGGTGGTCTCATTCATCTGGAGAGACACATTCACCAGAGATAGTCAAAACAACTATGCTCAGGGAAAAACAAAACTGAAACTGCCAAATGTATCTTTTGGAAAGACATGCTAAATGATGAATGAATAATGAAATTAATGTATACACCAGTTCTCAAGGTGAAATTATAATGCTTAGATATAAAAATCAGGAAAAAAGATTAGAAAAACTTTTAATCAACAGTGTAAAAAAGTGGAATCTCCATAATCTTAATTAAATCCTTTCCTTCCAGTCTGAAGACCAGGTGATGTGTGCCTTTGAGTAGCTGAAATTGAAGAGGACAAAAAGATCCTTTTATGAGGAATCTCAAAGTCCACATCTCTCCTGATCCTGAAGTCTAAAGGTCCACAGTGCTACATATATACCCCTGGTGTGGTATCATACAGTGTTAAAAAAAAAAAAAAGTCAGTTGGCAGGCTTGGCTTCCAGTTAGTCCTGTTCCCCGGGCTCTAGTGCAATCTCTGTGCTGTTTGAACTGTCAGCATTGCCCTCTGTTGACAAGTCAGGTGAATGAGTAGAAGAAGAGGGGACCTGCTTGTGGCTGGGTAGGCCCTCTCCATCACTGTTGCTGCTCTCTGTACTGTCCTGCTCAAAGCTTGTACTTTTCTCGGACAGAGCGGGCTGCTCAGGTTGCTCCACAGTGCCATCATCATTCAGACTTTGGACATGCCCCGTCTCAACTGGGTCTCCTTCCCTTTCACAAGTTTCTGTCTGTGTGCTGCTAGGCTCTGGGGAGCAAAGTGGACAACTGAGTTGAAAGTACAGTTGTTAACTGATCAATTCAAGTCTTTCTTTATTTAGAGGCATTAGAAGCTGAAAGTGTGATCGTATTTAATCATGTTAGTACAGTGGGATGTGTATGAAGTAAATAAAGAGTTAAAGATAAACTTAAGGGGTCAGTTAAAATAAAAAAATTCATGCTATACGTACAACCAAAAAAAGATTTTGTATTTCCATAAGTGGGGTAAAACTATGGAATAATTTAAGTGCGGACATAAAAAATAGTAATAGAATTGACGAGTTTAAACATAAATATAAAGGTATGTGTCAATCAAGATATATGCAAGAACAGGCTTAATGATTAATTAGATGGAACATTGTGGGTGTGGTGTATGAATGTTAACACCTTGTATTAATTCTTTAGTATGTTACTTGTGTGGTGTAGAAGATAATTATTTAAGAATGTAATTATGTAAGAATGTTAACACTCT